GTTATTAAAAAATGGTCGGACAGAACAGGATTTTGAGGAACTATTACCAAGTCCTTAATCTCTACACCATAGGTCAGAACTAAATCAAGAGTGTGATGATAAGAATGAGTAGATGTGCAGACGTTTTGGGTAAAACCAAATGAGTCTATTAAATTATTAAAGGCTATGCTTAAACTATCACTCTCAACATCTACATGAATATTGAAATCACCCATTATGATGATTTTATCAGTACTCCACATCAGTGTGCAGTTTTCATATTGAAGTGAGCATGGGGATAAAATTTGAATATTATGTGCGCACAAAAATATTCATGTATCAGGATACAAAAATATTGAGTTACAGTATATCAAACAAATGTTCTGAATGGTTCTGTGCACATTCTTTAATACACCTCAACGAACATGAAACTGAGCACACGCATTTGCAGAACTTAGAGGCTTATTTTTTTAAAATAGCTCATGTTAAGAAACAAGTCCCTGCACATCAATAAGAGTGTTTTAGCCACATTTCATATATTTGGGAATCATACAGATGTTGATTAGAACGTCCCATACAGCTGGCAATGAGATTCTCCTAGTTTTCCTCTTTAACACTGGGGCTAGTTGACCGTAGTGTTCTAAAAAAATAGATCTAAAACGGTGTTCTTCGTTGTAAACTGGTAAATAGGCAACACAGATTTTGTTTTCACTTCCATAGTCATAACTTCCATAAAGAGTCATTACTAATACCCTGTTTTTAGAAATTTATTTCAAGTTCTTATACTTTTGTTTGGGATGGTTAAGGGCCACACTGAGGTGGCTCAAGAGTCACTTCTGCCTCTCAAGGCTTATTTTTCCCGTTTCATATAAATTGAATGTGAACATCAGAAGCAGTGAGAATCCCAAACTAACAAACATTAAAGGTTTACATCACACTTTGTACAGAATGGCCTCCAGTTCTTTGCATACACTGATAATGGGATGATGACAAAAAAAAATTGATATATTGTGCAGCCTTAAAACATGCTTTACTATGTCAGTGGCGGGTCATACATTTTACACCTAAGCCTTCAGTGGTGTCCTTCCTGAGTATAACCACCTTATAATACCGTCATTATGACACCACTGCTACAAAAATAATCAATAATAAACACACATGCAGAAT